ATTTAATTGAAGTTCGTATATTTAATTAATTTAAAGTTCCAAAATTTAGAAGCAAAGTTAGAAGCATGAAAATAACATTCAATCTCTCCTTACCTAAGAATTTGACTTAAAACAAATAAAATAAAATAAATAAACAAAATAAAATAAATTCAATCATTTTTTTATTAATATATTTGATTTTTTGTTTTTAGTTTTAAAAAATTATTCTAATTTAAACACTTTTTTAAAAACATTTTTAAAATGCTTTAAATAATAAATCTATTTGATTAAATTTATTAATAAAAAATATTTTTAAAAAATCTTTTAATTAATTCAACTTGCAAATATATTTTTATTTATTAACCTCTTTTTAAAAATAATTCTGATAATCTAAAACTACTAAAGAATTTTTTATAAATTAATTTTATTTAGAAAAAAAATAAAAATATATTCCAAATACATTAGGAATTAAATTAGCTTGTCAAACTTTAAATAAAGCATTTGAGAGAATATTATATTAATATTAAAGTTTGGTGAAATAATAATTTTAATATTTATTAAGATTTTTCTTTAAAAAAATATTTAATTGTTAATTGGCAACGTGTGAAAATTTGGTTGGTCGATTTTTGTCGGTGGCTCTCCGCTCTTGAATCTTATTGGTAGTTGACTCTACCAACTAGTAAGAAATGACCAAAATGCCCTTAAACAAAGGAGTTGATAGTCATTAATGTGAGGGCATATTTGACCTATTGAAAGTATCAAAGATATGATAATAAATCTTGCAACTTTGATGCTTAATTAAATGAATGCTTTTTGTTTTGGTTTTTATCAATCATTGAAGTATTGATCAAATTTGGGTTTTGTCTTATTCCAATTGAGGACTCAATTATGGAAAAGTTAAATATATATTTTAAGCGCTAAAATTTAGCTAAATTTGAATTGTCATTGTATAAAGTTTGTACCCTAACACAATTAGTTTAGTAATCTAACGATGATTTGACATGTTCGTTGAGTAAATGTTGTTTGTTTTGGCGTAACGTGACAAACAAATGAAAGTAATAACTAGACTCATAAAGAGGAAACTGCATAAATTACTTCATTTCAATAATGACAAACAAATCGAAAATGATATTGGTCATGAAATAGACTACGTGCCATCCTTGATAAGTTCAACCCGAATATTAGTTTGCTCAAGTTTACAAGTCCGTTCTCACAAATGTCATTGCTATGTGGGGCTGACTCTAAAAAAACGTCATTGCTATATGGTGATTTGACATATTCATTGAGTAAATATTGATTGTTTTGGTGTAATGTGACAAACAAATGAAAGTAATAAACACAATTTTCAAGTGTTAAGTAAGAGGCAATGGTGAAATAAACACAATTGTCAAGTGTTACTGTAACGACCCTAAATTTCCACATACTCAGAGTCGCTACTAACGTCTCATGCTCATCTATAATGCAGAAATATAACTCTTACATGAACATAATTGATAACGTAAACTTAAAAAAAAAAACGTTTAAAACAACTTCTTCTCTGGAAAACACAGCCATGGTCTTACGTGTTTAAATACAAAATACTAAAATTTAGAGAAAATAAAAAAAAATACAAAATAATTTAAAACAATGGAATACAAAACAACCCATTCTAACTTAAAACTAAGAATTTAAATATGAGTCTACCCTATGCACGTGCCACAGTCTCTGCTCGCGATGTCGCCGTCCTCCGTACAAGTGCGCCTTGCCTTTACCTAAAAAATGATGTGGCACACGGCCTGAGTATTTCAAAGAATACTCAATAAGTGGCCCCACTATAGGGGCCGTGCAAATGCAAACACATGCAATCATGATTTAGGGACCTATCTCTATTCATCTTAGGGGTGTCCTCCAGTCTCGAACAAATTGGATGTGTAGTACTTCCCTACACACGACTCACACGTGCGAGTATGAATCCCCAGGGCGCTCGCACACCCCCTGGACCCTCTGATCAAGCTAATCTGTAACGACGTCCGGAGGTTAGCGGAACCCCATAGTGTCATGCACATCATGAACACCCTCATCTGTGTGCTTTCGCACCTGTGCATATTCGCGCTCATCATACGGTGCGCGTCTGCACTCATCATCTCTAGGGGAAGTAGCCATATGCTTATGAACATACAATATGCATGAGGTCCCTCTAAATCTATCACAATGTCTCTTCTGACACAACCCTCTAGTCTTATCTCTTTGTTACTTTAGGTAACACATACTCGTGGATATTTATATTAATATCATTTTCACGCTCTTAGGGTTGTGTCCTATATCGATCTAACGACATGATGCAATATGGCACTCATCATCATATAACATGCTCAATATGGAAAACATCATCATATTAAGGTAAACGTCACGCAATCATCATACTCATCATATTGTCACAAAGTGCATCAAACATATCAAGTACGACATTCATCAAAATATATATATACTGAGCACATCATCAAGTATTGTAACCCACACATCATCATAACTCATACATTATCATAACTCATATACCACATCGTACGACATAGTTCATACATCATCGTAACTCATACAATTTTTAGCCTATCCTATAGTAAGGCCACTTACTTGGTTGGCCTTAGCCGAAGTATTCCCTAATTTATTTAACGTAAGCTCCCGTTCCTTCAGAGTTACACCAAATGTTGTCAAGGTTTGCTTCCTATTATATCGTTCGTCACATTTTGTTAGTATTTCACATTTTAATTAATAATCCAACTAACCGTGTGAAATATGGCTCTAAACGGTCTCAATAAAAATCGAATCCCATGTTTTCATTGTTTCTAAATTATATAAGATGATAAAACTTAATACTTAAATTAATAATATGTCAATATTATTAATATTTCAAGTGGCTTGTATAATTCAACCTTTAATGTTATATCCTATAAATACAAATATAATAATTTATCATATTTTCCATTTTCCTTCCCTCATTTATTTCTCTTCTATATTGTATTTTACTTCTGTTTACGATACTTGCTATGAACAGTACTTGCCATTTTCAACCCGTTCTAATTTTCTTTTCTTTCCTAAAATCTTTTCTTTTGTTTTTTTTTTGTTTTTCTTTAAATTCTAATTCTTTTGAGTAGTTCAATTCTACCTCCATATCTCATTATTTCAAGCAATTTAAATCTAATTCTATAATCACTTTCTCAAAAGAGTTTAATTCTATAATTCTTTTAGAGTTTAATTTTACTCCTATATCTAAATAGTTTAATTCTGATCAACAGTTTAATTTTATTTCCATATTTTTTTTTCTTTGGCTTTACTATTTCCAAATCTAATCTTCCTCCCATACATGTATCTACTCCCATGTTTAAATAGTTTAATTCTCATATCTGTTAAAAAGTTTAATTCTATTCCCAAATTTTCTTTGACTTTACTATTCTCAAATCTTAGTTTTTTATCTTTTATTTTATCTAAATATGTTTTCCAGATCTTCCTTTTCATCCCGTTTGCGAAATCTAGATCTTCTTTTTCATCCTGTTTTCCAAATCTAGAATATGTTTTACAGATCTTCCATCTTCGTTCTTTTTTTTTATTTGAATGTCTTTCAGATCTTTCTTTTCCCTATCTTCCTTTCTTATCTATCTATTCTTAGACCCAATTTTGATCATTCAACAAATAATTTTCTAAATTTCTAACTATCTAAATAATTGCCTTCAAAAAATAAATCTGACTACTAATTTTCAAATGACATCTCTTACTCTGCCTACCCTCTCTCCATTATCTGCCTTCCTTCTCTCTCCATTATCTGCCTTCCTTCTCGATCTCTCCATTATCTGCCTTCCTTCTCGATCTCTCCATTATTGTATAACCATCTCTCCATTATATGCATTTTTTTCCTCCAAAAAAATATTTTCTTTCTATTTCTATTTTTGTTGAATTATTAATACTAAATGAAGGAGGTATTTTAGGGGATAGACGACAAGTCAGTTTTTTTTTTCTTTTTTTTTATTTTGTTATTTTTATTTTAATATACACACATATACATATACATATACATATATATTAAACCTATACATATATATTAAACCTAACGGGTCGTTAATAGTTACATTAACTAACACACCACTAGTTGACTTGAATATGTCAACCAATTCTCCCCCACAACAGTATTTATTTAATTGAGTGGTTAAAGCGTAAAGGGAATAAATGGAAAGAAAAAAATATCCACAAAAAACAAAGATACAAGTTCATAACAATATTGATGCTCTTCAAACCCATGCTTATTGTCTCTATAGCCTAAAATAAAACACGACATTAAATAGTCGAATGTCCTGTCGACGTTATCATGATAACATCAAGAAGAACAAAGGATATCAACTCGAACATAGCCATAGATATAGCTCAGTCAACCAAGGTAATCAAAATTACTTGCATGAAGAGAGACAAAATAGCATGCCATCAATCAACCCCTGATGAATGATTCAAATCTGGTAAAAGTCCCACTAACAAATTAGTGGATAATTAGGCACTTCAGAAGAATCTTCTCTTTAATGATATGGGAGAAAAGAGCATTATCAAAAAAAAAAAGTTACAAACTAGAGGAACACTTTCTTCCTTCTAGAAGGAAATATACGAGAAATACTCAGAAACACGTCTACAAAAGTTTCTTTCTATTTACCTTTCTGTATTCCACCGTCTGTTCAGTCATCTATTCCACAAGCAAAGAGCGCACATTATAAATTCTACAAATAGCGTGAGACCCCTATATATTAAACCTGATGACATCTATGGAAGAATAGAATAAAGCGTTCTTTATAAAGATATGGAAACTTCTCCTTAGTAGACACGTTTCAAAACCTTGAGAAGAAGCACAAAGAGGACAATATGGACTTAGACAGGGCGATTCTTCCAACTATGACTGTCAATTTACGAGTAAATAAGCTATTTACTACATGGACTAATATTTAAATTGACTCTTAACAAATTATAAAATAAACTAAAGCCCAGTCATTTTTGTGAATATTTCGAAGTTCCCCTTTCTTTTTTCTTTTTTTTTTTCCATTTTTTTTAAAACTTCAGTCTACTACAGGCTATTTCTTGTAGTATGGAAGAAGGAAACAATCAATTGCAGTATTCACCTCTTATAAGATGGCCTTTGAGTGAAGCCAATTCTGAGAATGTTCAACTTGAACTGGATTCTGCAGGGCATGAACCTTCTTTATTTGAGACGCTCAAAGGATTGTTTCCTCCATTCTTTGGTGTCCGTCTATCATTTGATTCCGAAACTGGGTTGTTATCCCCTACATTACTGGACTCAGGACTGCTACTTTTTCTAGCATCTCTTGTTTCAAGACGTTCCATCATGCGTGATACCGTTGCTATTCCAACATTAACCTCTCTTCTAACCTCAGAGCCAATATCTGACATTGAAGTATTGCGAGAGAACAATTTCTCCTTCCAGCCTCGTGTGCTCTTTGCGATTGAATCTTTGTATCTGAAAAGAAAAGGATAATGGAGGTGCTCAGGTCATGAAAGAACAAAGTAATCAAAAATTACACTAAAAACAATAAAAGCCATTAAGACATATTACAAACCTCATTGACATTGCATTAAATCGAGACTTCAGTGAATCCGAGAGTGATTGCAATTCTGATGATGGCCCGGCTCTATCTTGACTACTTGGCACTGGTTGACTGGTGGATCTCCTAAGAACGGTGTGGGACAATAATATTAATACATGACCGATAAATTCCATGTAGCTACATGCGATGGACACATTTCAATTAAATCCAATGAATAATGAATACCTATCGCTCGAAGGAGATCCAAGTTGGCTGGCAGAACGTGAACTGTATTGAGGTGCTGATGGAGAAGACTGATCAGTTTGCACGGGAGATGCTGAAGCATTGAGTTGTGGAGACTCTTCTCCAGCAGGTTGAGGTGGTGATACAGTAGCTACCATGATTCTTGAGGCTGCTTCACCTTCCCGATTGTCACGAGGAAGTGGAGAGGTCGATGAAGAATTAGGAGGGGAAGAAAACACCAACAATTGGGGACGGCCATGAATTCCTGACCGATGTCTGTGGCCTTCCCTTCTAGCACTATGGCGAGCTTGTCCCATGGCAGCTGCAGCAGCTAGGTGTTGGAGTATACGCTCTTCAAGGTCAGCATCATCAGCACCAGCTGGCAGCTGCATTGAGAAAAAACGTTCCCCAACTTAGATTTTGGTGTCCATGATTTAGTGACTTTAGGGTAAATATCATATTGGATACATACATGCTGTAACTCAAAGTCACCAAAAGTGGGATGGCGAAATATTGTTGAGTTTCTAACTGGATTAAGTCTAAAACTTCTCTCTTGTTCTACTGCTTCGAGCAACTCCTGACTGCAGAACAACCTCACATAAACAACCTTCATCTGCTTTCAAATTTAAATGAAAAAGTGATGATACAAAAATGGAATCAGTATAAACCTGGTTGGATCCTTCAGACTAACAGGTTGCCAACACATGGGGCATTGGGAGCTTCTCTGACACCTATTAAAAGATGGGACAAAATAAAAATGCTTGAACCAATCAAATTTAAATTCCAGTCATAACCTCAAACTTCATATTAATGCAGAAAATAATGCACAACTTCGGCAGAGCTGGGAGTATTGATCATGTTGTGGAGTATCTGGCTAAAGAGAGGTACTTGAGAAATTTCAGAATAATTTGCTTGATGAAGACGGGATTCCAATTTCTTTCCAGATTAATGTCACGTTTCTGGTCTGGCTTTTCAATTCAAAAAATGTTCTTCCCATTTTTTATTCACTGTGAAGCTTTATATAATTTCCAACCTTCTTAAAAAAAATAATAATATGTTTTACATTTCTACTTAAAACAATAACCGCCTGAATTCTAGTCTAAGAAAGTTGAAATTTGAACCTTCCCTAAAAAAACTATCATACAATAGAACTGAAAGAAAACCACTCCCAACTGAGCCCTACCACCATAAAGCATCATGGCAAAAAATGAAAGAAATATATAAACAACACAAACCCCTCAATCTAGCAATAACAAAATATATGATTCATAGGATCAGAATCACAACAAAAGCAGCCTACGAAGCAGATCATGGACTATCCAAGCCAACTTATTGTTAGTTAATAATCTAAGTAATTAGACAGCTCGGTATTCTGAATGGAAATATGTTTAAATGATTTTTTGTTTAATGATGATTGGTTTATAGTACTTTTATGTAAATAGAAGCAAGACAAAGCTCACTGAAAAGATGAAGGTTAGATTCCATGTTGACTGTCAGAAAGTTGGGACACACAGGAGAAAGTGAATGAACAATTCAAAATGATATGAACAATCAGTAGTTCTTGTAAAAATTAAAAAAGAAAAAAAGAAAAAGTGTGGTGAAAGTCCTTGGGTGTTCTGAGTTCTTGTTCACTCAATCAAGCCCAAACCAATCTATTTTGTTTCACTTCAATATATGACCAAGACCAGATTTTAAAAAAAGAACAATACAGGGGTGCCTCTTCTGGATCTTGTACTAAGTAATAATTCCTTCATGAGAAAACTGCCAAAGAAAGCACCAACCTTTTTTTAAGAAAAAAGCGTTAGAGGAAGAAGCATAAAGTACCATCCAAAACAGAAGGCTCCCGTAAATCAGTTAATAGATATTTGGTTATAAAAGACCCAGATTATCACACTTCCAAAGTAGGTCTTCTCTATTTTAGGCCAAGGACACCAAAGTAGGTCTTCCTTGTCACAGTTCCATAAGATTGAGTCATTGACCCATGGTTAAAATCAGAGAATTTTTTTCCAAAAAGAAACGTCAAAAAAATGGTTATGAGAATCCAGTGATCCTTAGCTTTTTCCAATGATAGAGCTTACAGAATAGGGTAGCAAACAACTATGGCTCATATTCAAGTCTAGGAAACGATCTTGCAATGGATACTATCCACAAAAACTCTCTTTCTTTTCTTCGTCGGGATTCAATATGTTGAAATCACATATATTAGAGATCAATTGCAATCCAAACTTGTAAAAAGTGATCCGCAGCAAACTATTATGCAGAAAAGATGCAAACGCACATCAATGAAATAGATGAACATTCAAAAAAAATTAGGCATCTGCAAAAATATTTGAAAAACTCACAACTTAACATTGAAAGGGAGATAAATATTTGCTAAACGGGTCTGCAAAGATATTGTGCACTTAATTTCCAAGTATGATCACATCAAAAGCAGTGTTGGTTTCAGAAGATAAGATGGAATGTCAAGTTAAGCTTTAATGCATAAGAGGTTGGTATTTTACAGGAACGATCATCAGGAAGACTGTCTTGCCTTGAAGTCCATATCCGTTAGCTGGTTTTGAGAATTATATTTTTTGCAATTTGGAATTATATTTTATAAAGTTCAACTTTTTTCAACTGAGTAAGAGAATGAAAAAGCAATAAAAATAAGTATTCATGTATGGTTTAATCCTCACATGAATTACATCAATTTTCTACCCAAAATCTTCAAGCCACCCAATGTTTGCCGTGTCAAATTTTTAATATTCCAAGCAGGCAATGCTGGGCATGGGTTAAAACCACGATCACTAGGTTAAATCCAAGAATCTTTAAACAAAATCCAACTCTTGAAGTTAGATTTCATCCTCACCATTTTCTTCAACCATCAAAGGAAAATGCCCACATGGCAAGAGGTCTGCTGACCTTTTTCTCTCTTGTCTCAACATTCTGAAGATGATATTAGAAACTCAGCACATCATACCACGAAATAAAAAGAGCATCCAAATTCCCACCACCTTTACCACTATAAGCTATCACCTAGATGTTAAATACATGTGATACTAATAATGAGGGTAGTAAGTCATATTGCTTGCCAGCTTCCACCCCCACCAGTACATCATAGATTGGTAGTCTGGACACTAGTCAATAGAAGACTTGTCATAGCAACAGACCCAGATACTTAATCAAGTCTTACACCCCCGAAGTACCTAGCATGGTCTTTCAAATTTGGATTCATTTCTAGCACTGAGAAATCAACCGTCTCACAATTCAAATACGTAAGATTCTACTTATATGATGATCTACTAACCCTTTCGAAGTATTAGAACTTCCCTATAATTTTATTTTTCTTTTTGGAGGAAGAAGGAAATAAGATACTTTTCATTGGCTGGTGAAAATTATAAAAGAAGGGAAATGCCCAAGAACCCCCGGTGGTTACAAATTGGTGCATCAAATGAACTTAATTGACGAAACTGTATAAATATAAAAAGAAGCCACAGTTAGAGGCAGGTATATGGTAGTCTGCCAAACATCCACTGTCGTCGTAATCAAATCAATAGTAAGACAAGATGATCACAAGCAGATCTGATATCTCAAACAGATATTGCAACAAAAAAAAAAAAAAAAAAAAAAAAAAAAAAAAAAAAAAAAAAAAAAAAAAAAAAAAAAAAAAAAAAAAA